ACGTCGATAAAAAAAGTCCATCCAACGAAATTTTTGAACTCGATTGATCTTCCAGGGAGACCCCACATACTGAAATTGAAAATAGGTGTGTCAACTATCATGTTGCGGAATATTAATCAGCCAAATCTTTGCAACGGCACGCGACTCGCACTTAAGAAATTGATGAAGAAAGTAGTGTAAAGATTTTAACGTGGCCTTTCAAAGGTGAAGAATTCCCATGATTCCGACCGATACACCATTTCAATTTAAAAGATTGCAACTCCCAATTCGATTGACTCGGATTCGGAATCACAATCAATAATGCTCCAGGTCGAACTTTGGATGTTGCGTGTTCCTGTGTCGGCAAACCAGATATCCTTGATATCTATGCAGCCAATGGAAAAACAACAAATATAATAATTTATCATCCATGTAACAGGAATATGCCACAGCAAAGCGTGGCAGGGTACAGCTAGTTATTATATAATTATATTTATATTTTTTGTGAATATATTGCTTACTATGTATCTAATACATATCGCAAATATTAACAAAATCAGTCTATAAATACGGGCTTTCAAAATATTTCGACTCCTGCGCCACCTAACGGGTAAATTTTTTGCAAAAATATTCCTGCACATGCAACCAATATAGGCGGAAAAAATAACCTAGATTCGACCATATCTAACAGAGATATATCACTTTTAATTTTTGATTATAAAAACCCTCCCCTGGAAATGCCCATAGAAAATATTAGACTTATGGAATCACCCACATCCTTCGAAAGCGTAAATACAGTCTATTAGAAGTACATAACTAAAAAAAAATATATTCTAGAGTCAAAATTGGGGGAGCTATGATTTTCCTTCCCCTAAATCGCCGAAATTACGCACTGTGCGGCGTGCGTAAAGCCTGCTATACAGTTCAATGCGCGCGGGAGCGTGAGCTTTTTATTTTCACCATTATCTCGTTATTACTTCACTTTTTCCAATAGTTGATACATCAAAAGATAGAGAATTAAAATATCTTTCAGAATTATAGAATAAAAACTAATTTCAACTCTGTGCGTACGCAAAACATTCGCATGTGAACGGCAAGTTTTGACAGATGTGTGTGAGCGTCCATAAGAATACAAATCGTCGCCTGGGTAAAAGATTGTCGTAAGCAACATTTTGACGATTTTTAGTTCTAGATGCAGTTATATATCTTGAAATAAGGTCTATCGATTGGTGTTATCAGTTTTTAGAAATCTCCTTTAGTTTCCGAGATATTGACTGCAATGTTTTCGATAATTTAGTAAAAATTTAGTTAGCGATGCAGCCATATTAAACTAATCAATATCTTAAAAACGGCGTTCTCTATTTTTGGATATCTCCTTTAGTTTCCGAGATATTGAGTAAAAAGTGGGAGAAATTTTGATCACATTTTGTCGTATTTCATACAAAGTGGCTGCCAAATTGTGGACAAATGACGCTTACGACAAAATTTTACTAAAGAAAATCCTTCATAAACTTAAAACTAATTAACAATTAACATTAAAAATTTAATAATTTAAGAATTTTGTCTATCTTCGCGTTTTTTTGAGAAATTGCATTCCATACTTCAATCGCGACTTCCCACAACCTGCCCTGCCGAAATTAACATACGACAATATTTTACCCAGACGACGAAATGGAACTCTTTGCCTTTGCGAACGTTCACGCTCACGCTCGCATTGAACTGTAAAGCAAGCTTAAAAACTTAACTCAAATTCCATGTTTAGTGTTGCGTGAGATTTCGATTTGACGTTTGTGCTCATTTGACATTTTGGCGCGACTATGAGTTCAAATTTTGCTCAACAAACTTCCGTAAACTTGACAGAAATGCAACTCTGAGAAATCAAGCACGAAAATTGATTTCGGTTAATCAAATAAGAAAAATTAGCGTGCGTGCGTAGAAAAACTCACGCCGGTATTATTAGGTCGAGCGGTTACTGTATATACCATGATAACAACATAATAGGGGTCTTCATCTAAAGTGATAAAGGGATAAATTGCTTAAATTTATCAGTTTATCCGCATTCTTTCGTGAACGCACCTTGGTAAATAATTGCACAAAATGGTTTATTATTTAACTAATTTTGCTAGTTACGTTACATTCTTACCTCGTCCATTGTGCTAATTTGCTTTTTATGTGTTTGTAGCAAAATCGACCACCTGGCAGTCTGTCGGGGTTGAATTTTGCTGAAACTTACATGTTTATCCACCAAAATCGTTAAAAATAAAGTGATAAACTTTGGTAAAATATATTTCCATACAAAGTTTGTCAGTTCATTTCTCAAAACGATAAGTTTGTGTTTTAACAAGTTTATCACAGGTTTATCACTTTTGATGAAGACCCCTAATAATGTGCATAAAATACAACGGAGAATTCTTTAAGCAGTTAACCTGATAACCGGAAAGGTGTGAATACCTACAATAATCATAATTTGGCAAAATTTGGTATTATAATTTTAGTTTTACGCTCCGTATCTAACTTAAATTAAATACATATGTATGTATGTAATTAATTTATTCTCATGATTTTAACCCTCCGATGAGTGACAGTGCCGATGACGTTAGATTCGTGAGAAGGTCCTTAGGGACCTACAAAGAGTTGCTCGATGTTTCGACTGTACATGTGCAACTTCTTTGGTATTTATGTTGTCTTTTGATTAAATTAACGTCCTGCATATATATTAGGAATGAAATAATTTGAACAACAAGTGAAAAAAAAATCAAATCATGAAGACAAGTAACTTGTTATTTCTTCTAAAATTGTACAAGGTCCCTAGGGACCTTGTCACTAATCCCCGTACTATATATGTTGAAATCTCAATAACACTCGAACGTGATCCCGTATCCCTTCGAAACTTATTTTAAACGATTCAGCTTAATTTATTCTTGGAATACATGTATAAATTCTTTTCAAAAATGCATTGAACAAAAAGATATAGGCACATGAAATACGAAAAGGTCCCTAGGGACCTTCTCACAAATCGAAGGGTTAAACGAATTTCTTGGCTGAAAAGAAAAATATGCTTGGCAAGCATACCACTACTTTTTTATCAATTGTTTTTAATCGATAAACGGGAAATTTCAGCGATCGCGATGTGCATATTTGACCCCATTTTTGATTCCAAAAGAAAGAAACAGCTGCCAAAGAAAAATGCCAAAATAGTTACACCCTGTACTTCTGGTAGTGCATTCCAGACAAATTTCTTAGTAAAGAAAGAGTCAAAACGAAGAAAATAAAAGAAAAATAGGAAAGGAGAAAAAGTCAAAACGAAAAAATGTATCGCAATTAAAAAGTAGTGATAGAACTTTTTAGAAAGGTATCGATACAAGTCCTCATATAGAATACTCTAAAAAGTATCGATGTCAGTTCTCATATTTGCAAAAAAGTTCGATAGTACTCGTATTTCCAAGTATTCTCAAAGTAAATGGGAAAAGTAAACAAAAATCAGATTGCTGATTTCACCTCTTCCTATTTGTAAATTTAATAGTCACTGCTCTTAATAGTTTTAATCTGATCTAAAGGAGGTTTTAGAATAAACTTCCGATTAATTAGTTTTACATGCGTAAATTAAATGTGACAAGCAAAAAGCTTATTTCCAAATTTTTAAAAGCAAATATTTTATAATTTTTTGACGTGTAAATGTATTTATAAATAACTTTACTTTGAAAATGATATGCAAATGAAGAAGACGAGAAGCAAATGTGGTGAAGCCCATTCTCTATTGGAATGATAAGCTCTCTTTCATAAAAATGTTCTGCAAGAATGGGCTGGATTTTACAACGAAGGTAGAATATATGGGTTAACGAGGGCTCTCTTATGCTGGAGAGTGGCCAAGTTGTCGAGTCGGAAGACCATCCTCTTCCACCATTCATTATCAAAGGGGAGGCAAGATATTCGTTTTTCAATTATTTGAACATTTTTACCCGAAGCCAATTTTGAAATGGCCGCTATATTTTCTTCTAGGTTGTGTAAAAATTTCATAACTGTGTCAATTACCAGTAGCTCACTAGAACAAAATTTGTATTAATTATTAGTATGGGAGTATACATATCGTCGCTCGTATGCCATAAACATGAATATATAAAAATTAAAATTTTGGGAAATCAAGTTTGAAAGTTTTTTTGTGAGAGTAAAAGCGAAAGTACACAACGTCCATCGCGTCGCCGGCACCGTCACCGTCAATGTGAGCGTCAATGGTGCTTATGCGGCAAGTTACACACTATCCGTTCACCATTGCATCCACTCGCTGCTACTCTTTGCAAAAATTGCGTTGCACTTTTCTTTCATCATTTTATATTTCTTATCTCAATAAATCCAAAAATTTTCACAAACAGAAAAAATTTAAATTCAGATATGTAAACAAAACACAGAATAGTTGTCACGCATAAGCCAAGTTAAAAGTTGAGCTAATTTGTGCGTCACAGTTACCGTCAGCTTTGTTCATGTAACTTACCGATTTAACTTTTTTGACAACTGACGGTGACGTTGGTGGTGACGCAATGGATGTTATGTACTTTCACTTTTAGCTCTACATTTATGCAATTGAAATTGTTAAATATTTACTATCCGTGTACGCATGGTATTCTGGGTTTTGGTATAACATAGAAAATCCAAAGATTAACCAATTCAACCCAATAACTCAAGACTGATGAATTTGCACCTTCATGCTTCTGGCATGAGGGTGACGATAAGTGAATTAAAAACTTTAAAGGCGTGTTTCTTGGGATTTCGGTCTTTTGAGTATTGCCATTATTGAGTAAAGAGCTTTATGTTCATTTTCATAACATTCATATTGGATATTGAAGTTAATATTCGAACGTTCGCCGCAATATTTATTGAGTAATTTAAAAAAAATTTACTTAAAACAGTTATTAACTCGTCGATACTTTTCGGCATACGTGATATATACTCAGTACGTGTGAAAAAGTATCGAGTTCTCGATACTACTCAGTGCTCATCAAAAGTATCGATATTCTGTAGTCGGTACACTCGTATCGTTCTATCGCAATTAACAAGGAAATCACAATCGGATTAGGCGAAGGAAAAGATATTTCATTAGTAAATATCCTTATTAAATAATTGTGTTAATATATTAAATTTAGTAGACAATCGGTTTTAAAAGAGAATTGTATTTAGTAAATATTCCCTTGTACATACATACGTAGCAACCGAGTCATCAGCGTGAAAAGTAAAAGCATTTTGTGCAAAGGGGCGGACAGCAGCGGTGACAACGAAAAGTGCAAGACAGAAAATTTATTGAAAATTCTCGAAAACCGTAAAACAGTTTTTCATTTTGCTATTGCTATATTGCTTGGTATAGAAAGTTAAAAAAGCTCTTTGGAAAAAACTTCAATCCCTCCATCAACTAACTAACTTATTAATTAGTTCGAACAAAGAAAATGATGGTTGAATCCGACGGAACTGCTGATGCCACTCGTCGTCTTAACGTCAAGAAGCAAACGCTCGATGATGCGTATGCGGTGCCAGCCAATTTTTTGGAAATCGACGTGGTCAATCCCTTGACAACTATGGCGGCAGGCAAAAAACGTTATACAGACTACGAAGTACGAATGCGGGTGAGTGACCTATGCGTTTAAATGAGTGCATGCTGATAATCTTTTCCCGAACGGATGTGACCCACATTAATAATACAAAATTTCTTTATAAAAATGTACGGCAATTTAAATTTAATGGCGCATATCAGTTATTTTGTGACTGAAACTATCTACTGCTACACATTAGTCACAAGGCAAAAAGTATATTTTTATCAATGAATCTTACTCATTGTTTTACAGTTGGTATTAAGCGGGATTTGCGATTTTCACCCACAATTAACGTACATACACATGCATACATATTCTTATGTACATATATGCAATATAATGCAAATGAATTTTTATGTATTTCAGACAAATTTGCCAGTATTCAAAGTGAAGGAGTCTAGTGTACGCAGACGTTACAGTGATTTCGAATGGTTAAGAAATGAACTGGAACGCGATAGCAAGGTAAACATATGTACATATGTACTTGTGATATCTGATTATGCTTAAAATCCTGTTTTTATAAAACTTAAATTTCCTATGCAATAGATCGTGGTTCCACCTTTACCAGGTAAGGCATGGAAACGACAAATGCCTTTTCGTGGTGACGAAGGCATATTTGATGAAAACTTCATCGAAGAGCGACGCAAAGGATTAGAAGCGTTCATAAATAAAATCGCTGGCCATCCATTGGCGCAGAATGAGCGGTGCTTACACATGTTCTTGCAAGAAAATGTGATCGATAAAAACTACGTGCCCGGCAAAATTCGCAATACATAAGAAGCGATAGAATAAGATCCAAAATGTAAATGGGGAACGTGTGCCGAAAAAAAGTGGTTGTTACTGTTACTCGAGTTCACACGTGCTGGGGAATCAAACTGAATGAGAAAAAATATACAAAATACGAATATAAATTGGAGGATTTAACTGCTCAGAAGGGTTTATTTTTTCAAATTTCGTGTTTATACAATATTTAAAATAGATTTAATGTATGAATTGTACTTTATAGACATTCTACTATATGGATATACATACATACATACATATATATTTTCAAATTCCCGAACTATTTTCTCATTGAATATTGTGCCGATAAATTATTAAAATAACAAAAAGAATTAAATATTACTCAAGGCTTATAAAGATTGAATTATGATGAAAATTGGAAGACGTTAAAAAGAATTGTTTAGTAGGGTAAGGAATCGACAAAATATTACGTATTATTATTCGTGCATAAATATCTAATGCGACATGTATTGGAAAACCGTAATTATTTTTTGGTATTCGAATATTCCGTGTTTTGAAAAAACTTAGTTGTATGTCTTAAGTTACAGAACGTTTGGAAAAGCAAATGAGTAAATAAATTTGATAATTGTACTTTTCTTCTAAATACTTACATACATATATTTTATTACACAATTTCGAACTGATTTGTTTAACTTAAAAATTATTGGGTGGCGGCGCTGGGCCAGAATTATACCATGGTCACGACTGTCATGGAAAGGAAAAATTAATAGAGTTTTTGTTATAACAACATACATATTTTCCGGAATGTTTTTGGGGAGTGTCGCTAAATTGACAGTCCTAATATTTCCGATTACGTAGACACCACTATCGTTGCGTGTTGTTACGAAAGTAAAAGCAGTACTACAAACTTGATTTAAATTATTATGAGCCAGGAGGCATATATCGCTTTTTAGACTTTGTTTGGTATAAAGCTGACATGCATAATTTAATTTTTAAAGGCCAAGAAGTTAATTTGGATATAATTTACGGTTGTTTGTATCTACGTCAAGTGTAGATCAGGCTTAAGAAAATGCAACCCTGCGCTTTTATTTTTTGCTGACAGGTATGTTAAATTTCGTTTGCATATGGTCACCGTTCTCAGCAAGTGAAATGTGAAATGTAAACTTTTTTACAAATTTTGGCCGTAAAATGTTGGAAGCAATTGACTCAGAGGATGCGGAGCCCAAATACGAGACTAGCCAAGATGTAGAGCAAGAGTACAAGCTAATTGAAAAAGCTTACGCGGAGTTCAGCAAGTAAATTCTGTAATTTTTCATTTTCACAATCACATAGTAAACAAAAATTTTCTCAACAGCGCCAACTATGAGCTGTGTCTGGAAACGCTGCAGGAGCTCGAAAAGTGCAATGGAACCAATAATAAATTGACACATAATCGCGCTGTAGCAAAGTTCTACCAGTCCGGCTGTAAAGACCACGTTACGCTGTTAAAATCACTCAGCGAAAAGGCTGATAAGGTGAATATATATATTTTTATAAAAATTCAATTTTCAGTCTGAGGACTAGAGTTTATTGAAAAATTAGTATTAATTATTGATTCTTATTTCTGAGTTCAATAATAAGCTGGCGCATTGCTAACTCGGCATGCGTGCATCGTTCTACTTCTTGGCGTATTTGCACGGTAAGCGCCCTCCCTTGCTCAACCGGTGCTTTAAGATTTCTGCCAATACATTTATGTTGTTCATCTAATTGTTGCAAAGATTGACGGCAGAGTTCGAGTAAAGACATTGCTTTTTCCGCTGCAACGAAACGGACGGATTAGGTTAATTTTAATAGATGTGTAACCATATTTTGGCGAACGTGCTTTCGTAATGGCATAACAAGAGTACCTTCTTGTCTTTTTTGAGCACTTTCCTGCTCAAGTCGCGCTTTTATTTCGTTGACAGTCCGCTCAGTACCTTCTTTGTAGACGTCACGTAATTCTCGAATAGCATCGACCATGGGTGTACAATTAAATTGTTTGGACTCGTCCCAATTCAAAACGGATGAATCAGATCGCTGCATTTCGGTTAAGATAAGAATTCCTTTATATATTTTTTGATTTTAAATTAAACAAAATGAAAGCTTTGACGTATCAATCAAGGCCTTCTTGGTTTTAATGCGTTAGCTTTTCAATTAAATAAAAAAATGGCGGCTTCCGGTGACGTTTCCACCGTTTTAAAATGTCGCACTCATAGTTATACTGTGGTCGCACAAAAATTAAATACAAGTGAATAATTCACTTATTTATTCTTTCAGAATAACACCTCGGCTAGTCCAATCGCGCAATACAACATGGCTATAATTTACTATCATCGACATATGTATCAAACTGCGATTGAGACGCTTATGCCACTTGTGAATAAACTTGATGATCTGGAGGAACTAATAGCTGGCCTAGTAAGTACATTCATGTTACGTTTGCTTCTCGTCACGAATCAGTTACGCAAGGCGGCAGCTTTTTTGGAAATGTTGCAATCACCTGAACGGAAGTCATCTCTCAATTTAAACAGAGAAGGGTTGATAGGTGAAGAGGCTGCATCCAGTGAATTGTCCGTTGCAAATCATGAGAATTTTCAACGTGCATACAAATTTTTAGCTGTGCAGACATACGTATTGAACCGTAAGCCCATTGCGGTGGCCGAAGATGGGGTAAGTCAAATGTACTACAACAAGAGTCTGTTTACATGGTTTTGCTGAAGTAAATATCGCACGTTTAATAGTATAGAGATGTAACTAAAAATTTACGTTTTTGGTGATTTCATTATGCAATTAATAAGCTTGATAAGTAGAATATGTTCAGTCTAATAGATATCCAAACTTCCCAAATGTGGCAAAGATTTGTGTCTTTCCATATTTATTTTTGTATACCAACTACATGAATTGATAAAACTTTGATTGCATTTTCCCACAAAATTTTAATTTTGAAATACTTCGTTATATTATTAAACACGCGACATGTATGTATGTACATATATCCTTGTATGCATTATTTCGCTTAACGGTATAGTCAGCGGAATATTCAGCGCTTAAAGCACATCAGTACTACATCATGAAAGATTTTCAAATGGCCGCAAAGCAACTGAAAAAAGTTAACGAAATTGGCGCTATAAGTGAGGAGTAAGTGTTATATTAAATAACCGGAAAGTTGCTATCCTATGTACTAAATCTTTGTTTCTTTACTTTAAATAGTAATGCGCTTAATACTTGCATAGCCAACAATATGGGCGTAATACATTTACGTGTGCGTCATTATGCGATCGCTGCGAAATTCTTTCAAGACGCCATAGCGTTTGACAAGCATATTGCAGCTAATATTCGAAACGTCTCTCTATATCAGATGGGTACAGCGCGCACTTGTGAAATACTCTACAACTTGGGTATCGCGATGCTGCATTTGCGTCGGCCAAAAGAAGCCTATAAGTGCTTCTTTGTACCGCTGAAATCATATCATAGCAATCCGCGTTTGTGGTTTCGTATATCTGAAGCTTGCATTATGGATCATGAAATGGTAAATTACGAAAATCATAGAAAAAACTTTGGTAGTATAACTTAAAAAAAATTATAGAAAATGCTAGAGGAGGATAAGAAGCCAATTATCACATCTGTGGTAAATTCTGGTGGGCGTAAAATGTACTTTCTAAAACCGTCAAAAAGTATAACATATGAGTAAGTAACTTTTTAATGTGCACTTAGCTATATGTACATATCTGTAGTCATAAGCAATAACCGCCTAAGTCGACTTAAGAAAGAATTGAGTTATACATTATTGACCAATACAATAGCACCCGCATTTCAAAGTGATATTGTATCCCACTCATGTTTATTTAGTTACTTTTAGGAATTTTTGAATTCAAATACAGTTCATTCTCTAACAAAACCCATATAAACCCGCAGGTTTAAACATTGTAAAAGACTACAAAAAAATGCAATAATCTTTCACTTAAACAAACTTTTTTCTCAGAAGCCGTAGAATTTTTTTAAGTAAGCAGTTTTATAGCCCATTCAATTTTAGTCTAACAATATGCAAGTTTCAAGTGGCTAAAGAGCACCGTTGATATTTTAGAATTTTTTTCGCCGAAGGGGTTGCGGGTTTCTTCGTTTATGGAAGCAAACGCAACAACAAAATTCTAAAAAATCAACGATAATTTTTAGCCACTTGAGACTTGCACATTGTTAGACTAAAATTGAATGGGCTATAAAACTGCGTATTAAAAAAAATCCAACACTTCTGAGAAGAAAGTTTGAAATTTAGGTGAAAATTTGTTGCATTTTTTATAGTCTTTTACAAAGTTTAATACTTGGGTTTATATGGGTTTTTGTTAGAGAATGAACTGTATTTTAATTGAAAATTCTTAAAGTTAATAATTAAACATAAGTGGCAAACAATATAAGTTTGAAATGGAGGTACTATAGATATGGCCAATACTGTATATGCTATCGTAGTCTGCAACTATTATTCCGCGCGTATGTGAAATCCCCATACCACCAGCTAGTTTATTTAAAAAGGTATAGACGAACAAATTTTGGTTTCCCCATAACATAACATTACAATAACAACATAACATAACATAAGATTAACATTACAATCCAAATATTTAAAACGTTTTTTTCTCGAGTTCAGGTTTTTTGACTTAGCCTGCTTATGAACACAGATATACTATGTATATATGTATGTACGTAAATACTTATTTGTATTCAGACAGGAGCCAACTGCTACAGAATCTGGGCCAAACCTACGCTTTGCTGCTCTGGCGCTACGAAACGCTCTAACACTTACAACTTATTATAAAAGTGCATTTGAAATGAATAATGAGGACGAAGCATCGGCGGGCGCTGAGAAAGAAAATTGGCGTAGTGTAAAGGATAACAATTTTTGTAATCCCTCGAGACCGATTTCCAAAAATTCTCTTGATAACATGCTATGTGCCATTCGTGCAGCCTACAGTTATGTCTCACTTTGTTTAGGCGATTACGCTTGCGCGCTAGAGATGGCACAAGAGCTGCTGAAGGCTGAAAAACTTTCCGATGCGCACAGGTGAGAAGATCTATTTAAATTGCTCTAATGTTCTTGTTATCCTCAAGTTTATGTGATACATGGTGCTTATCAAGTAATCCAATGGCGATTATGCTTAGATCCATAAAATCTTTAATTGAACCATAAATTATTAAAAAAATATGTAGCTAATATCAAAGATCTGTATCATTATTCATTATTTAATTTAGTAAAAATTTCTTATGCATTCACAGGCTCCTAGCGCATATGTATGCAGGAGAAGCTTTAATAATGATGGATAAACTAGAGGAGGCACGCCCACATTTTGAGCCGACTTTTGTGTCGTCTTTGAATGCATTCGATTTCGAGACGAAGGATTGGCGGGTGAAATCATTGGATGCTGCGCAGAATGTTGTACGATATAACTTGGCTGTGGTCATGGCATTGCAAGGGGATTTCGAGTTATCAATAAATATTTTGAGTAGTTGTACACATCCAATTGTTGCGGCTAAAGTTATGTCGCTAAAGACTTATCTCGATATAAAAATGGGAAAGTGTACGTAACAGAGCACTTAACTTAGTATGTATGTACATATGCACTTCAGTTAGATTTGCTACAATTTGAAAAAACGTTCTTCGCTAAATAATTTATGTACCGGCAAATGATTAATTTGCACTTTAAAAGCAAAATAAACTTTTACATATGTATACTAATGTATGTGCGAGCTATTAAAATCCATAAATCAAAGTTTACCGTTAAATTGCATTATAGATAAGTTATCGCCGATAATATTTCCTATGCAGTTTTTTAGTCGTTTGAGTTTATAAAAAGCTAAATTCATCTGGAAATACGATTAGTTTAAATTCTTTTGAAATGAATTTCGGTATTTCCATTTTTACCTCCGGCTTGTTGCTGGCTTCTGTAAGCCTAACAGCGGCGCTAACATTTGATGAAGAAAGATTAGCTATAAAGCAATTTGTCACATCTGTAAGTAAGTGCCTGCAGTAAATGAAGCAAATGCGAAAGTAAAATGTTTATTTAAAATCATTTCAAAAGGAACAACGCATTCGCTCACATGGCTACCCGACGGAAACGCATACCGTTGAAACCAGCGATGGTTACCTGCTGACACTCTTCCGCATTCCATATTCGCACAAATTGAAGAACGAAGGCGCTTATCGCCCAGCTATTCTATTGCAACATGGCTTGTTCAGTAACTCAGATTGCTGGTTGAGTAATGGACCCGATAATTCGCTCGCATACTTACTTGTTGACGCTGGCTTTGACGTCTGGTTGGGAAATGCTCGTGGAAATATTTACTCGCGCGCAAATTCAAAAATATCATTAAATAGCCCAAAATTTTGGAAGTTCAGCTGGCATGAAATTGGCATCTACGATATATCTGCTATGATTGACTATATACGAGATTTTACCGGTCAACAAGCCATACACTATGCTGGCCACTCGCAGGGAACGACGGTATTTCTGGTCCTCATGTCCACCAAGCGGGAGTACAATGCCAGGATTAAGACGGCACATTTGCTAGCGCCATGTGCATTCTTTGCTCACGGCACACATCCTGCATTTCAACTGTCAGCATTGGTTGGTACACCTGGCGGCCTGTACAACAGCCTCTTGGAGGATATGGAGTTGGTACCTAAGAACAAAATCGTTAATCGGATTGTGGATACATTGTGTGGCCAGCAACCCCAATTGGGCAAGCAATGCAAAGACGTTGCATTATGGTATGCTGGCGAAGGATATCGCAACACAAATATGGTAGGACTAGATTACAGGTTTTAAAATACGTAAAATATATATCTATGTACAATTTTACTTATTTATTTAAAGAGCTCCTTACAAATACTGATCGAGACCCATCCGGGTGGTTCATCAAGTAACCAGGGTATTCACTTTTTACAGCTCAGTAAGTCGCATAAATTCCGTCAATTTGATTATGGCACGAAGAAGAACCGACAGGTTTATAACCAGGATACGCCACCAGACTATGATTTGAGCAAAATCACCGCACGTACGTACTTGTATTCGAGCGCTAATGATGCATTGTGCGGTCCAAGAGATGTTGATAATTTGGTGGAAAATATGCCACTGCTAGTTGAGGATTATCGTGTTGCCGATCCAACATGGAATCATATGGACTTCATTGTTGCAAACCAAATGAAGGAAGTGATCAACGCGCGTGTCGTGCAAGCAGTTAAAACTTATGAGAGATTTACGCAATAAATAAATTAACATATGTACAAATGGAAAATAAATGTTTATTATGCCTTGGTTTAATTAAAAAATTAAAATGTTAACAAAACAATTCAAAGTGTTAAATTAATTTGAAAAACAAGATTGTTTTTTTGCTTTCGGCCAAGTTCCTATGTATGTAATTATTTGCTGGGTTATTATTTATTAACAAAAATTTATAAAGAATAAGCTGAGCTGATCCCGTAAACTGAAGCCTCGAAAGAGTCTGATGAGTAGATACAAGCTATACAAATTTTCACAATTAAAATCACAGTTCATTCAAAGGTGGATAAAAGCCCATGGAAAAGAAGTTTTTTGAAAAGTAGCGTAACATGACTACAGGGAACATTTTCAATTCCAAAAATGAACCACCAGCAGCGATCTGGTTGGCAACAAAAAGTGTTTCTAGAATCCTCAGAGAGAAGTAAACGCAGAAAAATTAAAGATATTCAAATGTACAGTAGATAAAAAGGTATTGGGGCATGCAGCTCTCACTACATTAATACATACTGGTAATAAAGGACCTAACAAAGCGTCCAAAGCCAGTAACCAGTTTTATGTACATGTATAGGAGGTTTTAGGAAAGTCAAGGCGAACAAAAAAGTGCTCAAGTGCCAGGGTGGAGGGCGGAGGGGGAGAGGAGGAATGGGTGAAATTAATAATTAGCTTTAAAATTTTAATCCATATTTGTATTTGACAGCAGTGGAAATTTTGGGAGATAAGTATGTATATGCGACACGCAGGTCTTTTTCTTGTATTTTTTCTTACGACTTTCTATAAAAAAAAAAAAAAGAATAACTGTAAGGGGTTGGTCTGCCATTCCGAGTCTATTCGATTTCTGAGTATGAGGCCTTATGTTGGACAAAATATATATGTATATAAGGGATTAAAAATGAGGAAATTAGTCTATGGTTACAGAAGGTATGGAATAAATTAACCAACGAACACTTGCGTGCCGACTGCGCTTTACTTTCAAAGTGTTTACCCCTGGAAAACCCATATAAAGGTTACAATTAACAAGTAAGAAAGTCTAAGTTCGAGCGGAGCCGAACATTAAATACCCGGCGCAAGTATTAAATATATGTTTTTTCACCTTTCCGAAAGCTACTGCTAGATGGTAAGCCGGGCTGTATCAATTTTGAGTAAATTAGCGTCCTTAAATTTCGAAATATTGCAGTTTCAAGCTTTCTTAAATTTACCGTTATATGAAAAGCGGCCGTAATTTTAGTGCGATTTCAATAATTTTCAACGTTTTGCTTTTATGTGGCAAGGACAATAAAAATACCGAGTTTGGTACAAATTGGTATAACGGTTACCGATATACATATATGTGATCATAAGTAGGCGGTGCCACGCCCATTTTCCAAAATTTTACCATAAACGTATTTCTTGGTAAAGAATTGTTGCAAGCATCAATTTTGAATAAATTAGCTTTAATATTTATTGATTTATCGAAGATTTTGTATTTGTCTAAATTACCGTTATATGGGATGTGGGCGTGGTTAAAAAAAAAAAATATTCGGTCATTTACTTAACTGTGCCAAGTTTGGAAGAAATTGGTGCAGCGGTTGCCAAGATATACACATGTTACCATAAGTGGGCGTGGCAACGCCCATTTTCCAAAAATTAATAATATTCTTATTTTTCGTCTGAAAATTGTTGTAAATATCAATTTTGAGTGAATAATCTTCAGTAGTTACTAGAATATCGCAGTTTTCGTATTTCTGAAAATTACCGTTATATGGATTAAGGGAAACCTACAGACCAAATTTCGTTGAGATATCTCAATTTTTTCTCGAGTTATCGTGTACACGGACGGACGGACTGACGGACGGACAGACAGAGATGGCTTAATCGATTTCTCTATTCATTCTGAGCATTTATGTAATTTGTGTATATCTATCTCGATTCGTTTTGGCTGTTACAAACAACCGTTATGTGAACAAAATTAATATACCCTTGTGCACAAGTGCGCTCGGGTATAAAATACAAATTAATAAAATTAAAGAAAAGTGTGTCGAAAATTAACAATAAACTACTTTTTTCGCAAAATCTATAAAGAACCTTATTATTAAAAAAGAGGAACTGGGTAACAGTTATTCGTCACCACCCTATCCGTTTAATAGTCCAAATTCTTTGTAACTTGGGATTATTCGAAATTCGAATTATCTACCGTGCTCTGTAATTTCGCTAGTAGTAAAATGAAAAACTGTATTAAAAAGACTTTCGAAGTTGCATTTTTCTTCGAATTGTCAAAAAACTCGCTATTTGTCACAGTGGAACTACCGTACAAGTTATTTGTATCATGCTAATTTCTATAGAAAATTTAGGATATGCGACAAGATGCAGAAAAATCTTTAATTTGCTTTTCGAACACGTAGAAGATGAAAGAAGGTACAGAAATCCAAGTACCGCGATACAGCAGTCGCCAAATGAATCGTTTTAATGTGAAAGCTGGAGACGCCGAGGCATACTTCTATTGACTTGATTTTAGACATTTACAATTCTGAATGTCAAAACACGTCTTTTCACAAAAATAATTTCGGCCGCCTAAATCAGCCAAATACCCCTATGTGCAACGATTTCTGTACAACACTCGTAGTTAACAATTTATAATCTACAGTACATACAAATGTACATATGTATGAAAAAAGAAAACGATTTAAATTCTCATATACGTAAATTAAATGCGCTATGTATAGATATTCCTTTTGATTTATAATTTTTATATTTATTGGCAAAAATATTGTGGCGGGTGTTTGATATACATAACTAATTCTTTCACTGAGTGGTTGCGATTAGATCAGCCATTGATTGAGTGAGCAGTAAGCTAAGCAAAATAACTTTTAAATTTAAGATTAGATAGCTTTAATTAAAAATAATCCTGCTTAATATAATATACTGCCATCAATTTAATGTTCATCGCACAACATTTGTGAATTATTTAGTGTATACTTTTGCAAATTGAGTACATACCTACTATACGGCTCGCGTTGTTAATTCTGAGTGCATTCATAGTGTAATGCAGGACTTAGGGTATTAAGTAGATCATCAACAACTTCAATATATGTATATATTTATTAATTTTCATTGTCATTGTCATTGTCGAGAGCGAATTTTTAAGGGAAACGATGCGCTTGAAAAATCGAAGTGCTTCCACATTTTCAATACCTTTTGAAGTGAGTTTTTGAACCGAATTCTGAGATAGGATGTTTTCCACTCAGAAGTCGATATACGGTCAATCAATAGAAAGTTCGGCTTTTAACGCAACGCAGTAGCTTTAGCAAAGCGCAAAGTTGGAATTTCTATCGTGTGTCGAATTAAATAATTTTTTGTTTGAAGCGGTGATAAAATAATTTCGCTTGTCACTTTATTCTTTTTAATAAATATTAATAAACAATTGGATAGCGAGGAGTCAGTTAAGTACATTCTTTTTTGGTTTTAATTTTCAACTTTTTGGATTACATATATGACCAAACTAAATTTAGTTTCAAATACAAACCTTTCAAGTTGAAAAAAAGGAGAGCACATATGTTGGGTTTAGAATTTAAACAGTTCGGTTTAAATTTTAAACCCAAACATTTTCTATTTCGTTCGCTTCACGAAAGCTTTTTCATAATTAAGAATAGAAAAAAAAAATTGTAAATTTCATGTTCCGTCTGATGGGGATTGATGAACAGCCGAAACTCAAACGTAATTTAATGCCACGTCGAAATCTGTTTCATTTTGATTCTCTTAGTTCTACGTTACGTTAAGTTAAGTTAAGTTGCCATAATCAGGCTTTTTTTCTTATAGGTTATATAAAATAAGGCATATTGGGGCAAACCTTTTCTATTTCTGTTTAGATTTTAAACAAAATGTTCTATATATGAAACCTAGAAACTAGAATTAAAACATTTTGAGCCTATATTTGAAACCACTCATAGCAAAACATCATTTTCTCGGCTGTTTGGACTAAAATTTAAACCAGGATATATTAAAAATTGCTAAGTTTTAGCTTACTGACTGGCTTAAACAGTAGACTATGGCTTAAACAGTAGACTATAAAAGATTAAAAAAGGCAGCAGTCCCAGCTCGGTTTAAAAATTAAACCCAAATTTTTGACCGTGTTCTTATGTATCTGTCAAATTATTTAACAGCCAAAAATTAATAATTTCACGGAAACCTGGTCACTTTTCTATGGACCCCTTGGGTTGCGCGCAACCTACTTTAGGATGCTCTGGGTTACACCATGTAGAGCATTTACAAAGTGACACAGTTTACTTTGTTATGCTCCCACTATGTTCGGAATGTAATGCGAAAATTAAAACCGGACACTGTTTGCCAGCTACGGTAGATATGGACAATGCAACCGATGGTCTTGTTGAGGAGCTCGCGCAATATGTGGGCATTCCAGGTGCAGGCGAAGGTTTGCTTAGTGACTAACAGTTTTTACCGTACAATCTCTATGTACAACGTTTGACCGATGCGGACGGTGGCGATAAATCAACTTATCCTGAATATACATATGTATATGTGGTAAGATGACGAATCTCAATGTGTAAAGCTACTTTAGAAGGTTTGACTTTGAATTAAGAAATATTCACTTTCCCTTGAAATTTTTTTTATTTTCTATTAACGGGGCACCGCTAGTTAAACGTTAAAATATTGGAAATGTTGCTTTAAAGGAAATGTTGCTTTAAAGGGACTTAGGCTACTTGAATTCAACGGAACGAAGTCCTCTTTGTTGTTGTCATAGCAGTTTTTTGCCCCCAGACGTTACTACCTGAACTGGCCGAACCAGATGCGGTTCGTGTTTTGACCTATCAAACAATTCTTTAAATTCAACTCAAAATGTCGTCAATATGAACATATGTATAAACGCCAGCTATGTAAATATAAAAATCCCTTTAGGAAACGCCAGCATTCCTCTTTGTTAGGCAATACATTTCTTTTTAACTGACTTCAACAAAAGAAGGAAGGTTCTCAATTCATCCGAATATATTTGGTTTTCTTCTTTATATATGTTACCGGATAACTTTGGATCATGTGAAAACGTTTTCGAAAATTATTATTTTGTTGTCGGAAAGTAATGCTTCCACTTTATTTTCAAGTGAACGTTTTACACGCACCTTTTGTTAAAAGCGACAAGATAGCAGTGTACATTTCAAAACTTTCTCGGAGTTTCCCTGAGCAGTGATAAGGCATGTTTCTATTTTACTTCCAAGTGGAATCATTCCTCATTTTCCTAGGGGGATATCAGAGGTGCGCAAATATGTGTGATTAAGAATTTCAAGGTCTTTTTCGCGTGCGAATGGCATTTGTTTATTTGCCAACAAAATAAAATGAATCCAGGTTTAAGCTTGCAGCCCACAGCTACAAATGTTTCTCGACTGGTACGTTTTTTGCAACTTGCAAAAACATACATCCCGTCTGGCGAGGGGGATTTTGGGCTTTCAAACCCCCACAGGAGTCCTTCGCGAAACATTTATTTGGGTAAAAACACAGATAAATCCTTCTGCACTTGATGCTTTCATTGTGCTCGTCGACGTCGTTTTTTTTTGTTGTCTTGTCATCCTTAAGTGGAGGAGGATTTTTCTACAATTGGCGTTAGGTGGCTTTAAAGAAGTATCGTCGACCAGACCTGAAACGCAATGGTAAGGTAACTTATTCTGTGGTAATTGTTACAAACAGATCAAATGTTGCTTTTTTTTCTGCGTGGAACTTTCCGTCATACCAGTAAATTCTGCGAGTTTGGCAATAACGAACAACCTCTTGCCCAGCGGCACAAAGTGATTGGAAATCCCACTGCTAATTTATGTCCAGGCGATAAGGAGATCAAGCGAAGAATAACTCTTGCTAATAGGGTCCAACTTTGGGCGCGGTAGGCAATGGAAAAGCCTAGCCCTTTCTTGACGAACAAAAATTACGCTCTGCAAACTTCTCATCATTCCCGTCCTTTTATACAAAGACAACGAAAGAAAAGGTGTCCACGAACACAATGGAACGACCAAGTGCAGAGGAAGCTGTCTGCACTCGGGATGTACAACTGGCGCAACCTCGCCAAGGAGAGAGGCAATTGGCGAATCTCGGCCCAAACCGGCGAACGCTTGTAGAGCCAAACAAGTAGAAGAAGATGAGGAGTTGCTTGTTAGAGCAGGATTGAGTCTCAATTGCGAAATTTTTCAGCTGCCTATAGTGATCGCAGCTTTGATACACCTTTTTTATTGTACAGATGCGCATGCGGACTTTAGATGCAACAAGGCAGTCCTCCGAGTCGATGTTTGCTCATCAGATGGACAGCTTTGCCGACATTTGGATGCTGAGGTCTGATATTATTAACTACCATATTCTGTGCAGCGGCTAAATCGCTCAGTCTCTCTTTGTTGTCCGAGGTGTTGTTGTGTAGGCGGAGTTTTTCGGCTGTTGGACCAAATATGCCTTCTTTGTCTAACCTAGCGTTAAAGACGTAAGGCACGATTTTAATGTCGTGGCGAGAACAGCACTCATACCTTCTCCTAGGCGCCTCTCTTCCGTAGGGTTGAACATACACATTAGGCTGACGTTGTATAGTTTAGCATTTATGTGGACTGGCGATTGTATTGGCTACACACAAGTAACAGTTGTCATTTTGGTGTTCGCCGGGGTCGCTCCAGTACATTGGTACAGCGAATTGCAAAGAAAAGCGTTTTTTCACCAAAAAGTCAAAGCACCGTTGCATGGAAGATATGCGAATTTGGGAGCATATTTAACATTTTCCAACAAAAGTGTAAGAAAATAGTAATCGTAGCATTGCCGTGCAACATCGCTTAAACGGTTTCTGTCTGATTTCACTGCATCTTTTCCGCAAACGTAGTAAAAACTTTGAAATTTTTCACAATGAGGTAAGCCGTCAATTTTATATAAGAGTATGATTTCGAATATGTCAAGCAGACGAAATTTGCGTTTTGGCAAAATTTTGTACTTTGTAACGTTAAAAATCAAGTGAATTGCAATATTGTAGACGTAATATCCATATTTTTCAATAAAGATTCAAATTAAATACCAACTCAACAAATTAAATAATTTTAGGATAAAAATCGAAAAGGGTCAAAAAATAAGCAAACGAAATTAAAAAATCAGTCAAAAAGTTCCTAAAATCGAGTCCTGATGACTGAAGTGCGAGTTTTAATGACTGAAAATTATTATCACGATTAGGTTTCATTAATTGAAATATAGTACGTGTCATTTCATAACGACTAAATGAAGATATTTTTTCAATCTAAAATATCTTTAAATTTTGACCTGATCCTGCCAAACAGCATACACACCCGAACTCTACTCAACGAAAATAAGTTAATGTGCCTCGACGTGTATAGGTTATACTTTCACTTTCTTACCGTGTTATTTAAAAACAGCGAATACTTGTTACTATGCTCGTGAAAAATATTTTCAAATATGAACCCCTCCTTTGAAAATTCCAGAGCACGGGTCTGCATATGTACATATGTACTTATGATTGTAACACAGAATTTTTTTAAAAAACAATTTGCACAGTATTTATTAAATTTTTGGAAAAACGGAATGTGCTCTGGTGGTATAAATATATGGCGTTTACAAAGTAATCTGCTGTTTAGTGCATCTAAATATTCGTAAACGTTGGGCAATAGCTATGCGGCAATTTTTGATTTTGACAGCAGCCATCGCCATAATCGCACCTAATGCGATTTCTGCTGCAAAGACAACGGTGAGTACTAATAGTGAGTACTAGTTTGTACTGGAACCTGCAAATTTTTACTGGAAAAGCGTATAATAACCAGGGTAGCCAACTCCAACAACCAACCAACAATTATTATTATTTTTTTTTTCTTAATTTGAGTTATTTCTTTTTATAAAACTATAGTTCATTCTTTAAAAAATACCGCATAAATCCGAGATTCAAACTTTGTGCAATATTAAAAAAAAAAAATCAATTAACTTTCCTAAAAATTTCGAGATTTTTAATTCGATTTTCTAGAAAGATTTTGAGTATGCAGTTTTGTAGCCCATTCAACTCTATTATATTAAAGTGCTGTTTCAAGTGTCTAAAAATTTTGGTTTTAGATTTTTTTTTGCCTTAGTTTTTGCGGGTTTTTTCCATATAAAAATAAATAAATAATGTTTGATCGTTATATGAAAGCAAATGCGACAAATCAAATTCTAAAAAATCAACGGTAATTTTTGGCCGTTTGATACTTTTTATTATACTAGAATTGAACAAGCCGAAATTCCCCACAAAAAAGGGTCCATTCACCGATTCCCCACGCAAACTGAAATTCCCCGCAATTCGGGGAATTCTCCACAATTGGCACCCAAAAAATTTGCATGAGAGCACCGAATCGAGAGCGTAACAACACGGAAGAGCTGCAAATTCTTGCTAGTGAAATTTTTACTAGCAGAAATTAGCTAGCAGAAGAAGAGCTGAAGAAGAACAAGAATAAATGTCAAAACCTGCCATTTGTTGAATTGGTTAAGCGTAAACAAAAGTAAAATAAGTGGAAATCATAATATTAATGATGTACGGATGGTCAATTCTCGTTGTTTTTGTAAAATGTTTTGTAAAAAAAACACCGTTAGACGGCCATCAAACAAAGTTACACTTTCAACACGTTATTGACACGTTGTTCGCGCAACCGGTTTATTTCTTAAGATTCAAGTGGATTTTTTTTTTTATAAAGTAAATTAACCTTTTAAATGGAAAACAAAAATATAAGTGAGAGCCTATGATGACTGACTTCTTTGCATAACCTCAAACATTTTCTGATTTATTTCCATTTATGGTTTTATGTAAGCTTTTACAATTTTGTTAACCTTGCGCAAACAAAAGGCAAAAGGAAATGGATAAATTAAGATGTAGTGGGTAGATTTTATTTTACTAAACTGTTATTACTGTTATTACAAAAGGCGAATTGTTTGAAGTTTGGCTGCATGGATGTTCGAAAAAAGAAATGATTTCCTCGGTTGCAAAACAAAACTAGTGCTGGAGATATTTACGAAAGTTCCATGAAACTCTGTTGTGTTGGACAAATTTTAATTCTACGGACAATTTTCAATTAATCGATTTAACTTTATTTGAACAAATTGCGTAAAAGGTCTGAAATTGTAAGAAAAAGCATTTGCTTAGGATTTATGCATACAGCCCCTATAAATATGATCACACATTACAAAACCAAGTGGAACCCACATTGTATATGGATTAATAAAAGTGGATTTGCATTTGTTAACGACAATTTAAAATTACAATTCAAAACTCAAATACTTTTAAATAGTTGAACTACACTGGTCCGAAGTTTTTGAAGATTTTGATCCAGTTTTAAAGTAGGGGTCTTCACACCGAGCTTGGTACTCGGTGTTCGGTAATTTTTCCGTACGTATTTTGTTTGTGTAAAATTATATTATTATCGGTGTACCAGTTTCCGAATTATCCACAATAAGTTTTTCATTAAAAACGGTCTCAAGCTCAATAAAAATGTTGAATATTATGTACATATACATATAATTTTCTAAAAGGCAACAATATTCTTAACCTAATTTAGGTAGATACGTTTACACACTTATTATTAAAACATCATTGTATGCATATTATAATTCTAATACAGTTTGGTTTACCAAGTAAAAGGTTAATATTTTTATTAAAAGGATGGCCGAAAGCCATGTAGCTAGTGTCGCTTTTTTAATTTAAAAATAAATAAATAAAATTCGGGGACTACAAAATAGCACTTTGCTTGGAAATGACCCGTATATAGTTTTACTTTCAATATTTTTAATTGTTTTTTTTTTTTCAGGCTGATCGCATTGAGAGCCATGGTTATCCATCAGAAGTGCACAAAGTTACCACTTCGGACGGCTACGTATTGACCTTGTTTCGCATTTCATACTCGCCTCGGTTGGAAAATCAAAATGCCACCAAACGAGTTTTTTTCCTGCTGCATGGTTTGCTAAGTTCATCGGATTGTTGGATTCCAAATGGCCCAAACGATGCTTTGGCCTTTTTACTGGCAGATGCTGGCTACGATGTGTGGTTGGGAAATGCCCGTGGGAACGTCTATTCGCGCAATAATATCTACTTGAATCCCAGCCAACGATCTTTCTGGGCATTCAGTTGGCATGAGATTGCTGTGCGTGATATGCCAGCTATGATCGACTATGTTCTAAACGAAACGGGCGAAACGTCCTTACATTATGTGGGCCACTCACAGGGCACTACTACGTTGTTCGCATTGCTATCATCTAAGCCAGAGTACAATGCAAAATTCAGAACTACGCATATGTTGGCACCCGTCTGCTTTATGGAACACGCGCGATGTCCTTTAATATTGCTGGCTGCACCTCTGTTCGGCACACCAACCACGCTGTCCACTCTTTCGAGTGATAGCGAGTTCTTGCCAAGTGAAGAAAATCTCAGCCAATTGAGAAGCGCCGCGTGTTCCCCGGACGTCGTTGATGAAGTATGCAGCAGTGTTTTGTTCCTTATCTTTGGCTATGATCCAAAACATCTCAATTATGTAAGTTTGTTTCCGGTTTGATCCAGACTTTTTGAATTAAATTTTACTTTTATATCTTAATACTTGTTAAAATTTGTAGACCTTAATGCCAGATGTTTATGCGACTCAACCTGCGGGCTGTTCGACTAGGCAACTTCTTCATTACGCCCAAATGTATAAATCTGGTCATTTTAGAAATTACGATTATGGCGCGGAGCAAAACCTACAAAATTATGGACAACTCACTCCACCCGACTACAATCTTAGCAACATTCATCCTGAGGTACCTGTAAAATTCTACTACAGTGATAATGATCTTTTAGCAAATGTCACTGATGTAATGCAGTTGGCGAATTCACTGGGCAATAACGTCGAGTTGCATCATATAAAATATCCTGAATATAATCACTTTGATTGCCTATTAGCGCTCGAAGTGAAGGTTGAGCTAAATGACCCTATAATAAAACGGGCTAACGATTATGAAACAAATTTTATTTAATTGTTGCACAAACATTAACAATTATGTATATATGTGCTGCTTTGTTCATAAAAAATATAATTAAGTGGATCCATAAGTAATGTAATTTTTAAAGAATTCGCAAAAAGTTCATATATTTTTGTAAAATAACACAGACCTGCGATGGTTCCCCCCTTAAAAAAAAAAATAAATCAGCAATTTTGGTAGATTTTATATCTATATATATAAAATTCAAATTATGTATGTACCTATAGACACACTTGGCTCCTAAACGAATAAGCCGATCGTAACCAAATTTTACACACGCACTGGATATCTTCCAGGGATGGTCACAGGGTAAAAAATATTTTGATATATAAAGGGGGCGTGGCCCCAAAACGTGGACCCGGGTAACCTTAGGATGTATTTGTTTAATATGG